ACAACTTCGGGATCAAGAAGTACATCAACAACTTCTCAACGGTCATGCGACAACGATCATGTGGAGCATTTATGAATGCATCGTGAAAACCAATATATTTACGATGTCATATGATTTTTTATGTCTAAACTATGTACTTTGAATAAATATTTATGTTTGAACCATGTATTTGTAAATTTAAACTATTTATTTGTATATGTTTATACCATGTATTTTGAGTATTCATGTTTGGTTCAAAAAAATGTAAATGGGCAAACATAGGTCGGACAAAAAAGGGAACTGGACAAATGCACATCATTGTACATTTGTTGTTCGCAAAGAAATGGGCTAACGCTGTAAGTCCTATTGTAAGAATACTCCACCATTCGTAATTTTCACATATATAATCCTCGTGTTTTATTATATGGATTCTATATCAGACGGATTTGTTATGAGAACATTGTACCAAGTAATTCGACACATAGAAGTACATTCAAAGAAGAATCCAGATTATTATTGAATAACTCAAAAAAATTTTGATAAGTCATTTCATATTATTCCAAAACATAATTATTTGTTTGCCCATGAAAACACTTTTGTTTTCGATGCTCATTGCCACTAGAAAATGATGGTGATTTTATTAAAGAATAAGATTGTACTATGGAAAAATAAGTCTGTTTATTCCAAGTATTTTTACGAATACACTTTTTCGACTTGGAGTATGTTTTAACTGCCATTCAAAAAAGAAAATACCTATTCTTTAGTTTCATGTGAAAGACATCTATTGCTGCAAATCAATCCTTTTTTATTTTTCTTAGCATTTATACTTAGATACTCCCTCCGTCCCGAAATATTTGTTTAAGAAATTGATCTAAGTGAATGTATTTAGAACTAAAATACGTCTAGATACATTCATTTCTTCGACAAGTATTTTCGGACGGAAGGAGTACTAAAAGATATTGAAATTCTAAATTATTTATTACTCCGTTTTCTAATGTGGACAAGACAAAAAAAAGGATTGTTTACGTATATATTTTAGACTTTGTTTTAACAATATAAAATATTGAAATCAGGGACGGAGCCAGG